AAATATCACTGACGAATCCACGGTATCTTTTTTCATAGGATTCTTTAACGTCCGTAATCTGCGACAAACTGGCAAAAAGGAAATGCTCACCCAGACAATACAGTCTTTAAAGGTAGATGTGTGGGATGTCACTGAGACAAAAACACAAGCGTAGCCATGCATCCTAAAGTGCCCATCAGCTCTCTCACATCTCACTCTGTGTTTGGTGGTCCACAAGCGGGAACTCGTAGCGTAGGGCAACAGAGAGACCCAGGACTGAACGAGCTTTGTTGGATTCGATTCCAGTGAACAGTCGTCTTTGCCTCCATTCGAGCCTAAGCGAGCTCATTTCCATTCAACAAGAAACCGGTGACTGATTTTACCATAAATTTATGACGGTTGCCATTTAGGACGGTTGCTATCGAGGTTTATCTAAGCTGATTTATCAAACAATAAGCAATGACATAGGCAACTTTGCAGGTAATAAGGATGCCCGTTGCAAGGACTAGTCTGGTTAAGCGCCTACCACCAGTTGTTTCTGACCAACACAAAAGTTCACATGTATCCTGGCGACTACAAATCAGTACAAATCAACTGTGAGGCCAGTTAGATTAAGTGACTATCAAACAGTGATGGGGAGATAAGATTCAAAACTGTCAGTCCTTATGAAATGCAAGACTTGCCCGCATCACGCCGTAGTGCGAGCTCATCTGTCAAAACGCCTCTTCAGACCTTCGCAATTCATCAGAATGTATGTAAATTCATCATTATCATCAGAAAATCACCTTCACTCGATGATATAGACCTGGTCTAGCTCAGCTATCCTTTATAATGAATCAGTTGTTGTAACTTATGATAATCGTTCAGCTGTTAGACCCTCTCGGTACCTGGCTGCCAAGTTACTCGAAGGAAGAAGAGAACAGAGATACTGCTAGTTTGCCCAAGCCCAGACGGTAGCGGTCGAGATGCAGAGATTGGGTTCGAATCACGGACCTTCCAGTCAGTAAATTCACGCTTTAACTACTTAGCTTTCTTGAGCTCAATCAGTTGTTGTATATTTTCAGTGTTTCTCAAACCATTTCACCGTTCATTGTTAAATCACTGTTTCTCGTCTTAGCTGGCGGTGTCAAAGTTTGGGATGGATAAAGCCTAGCTTATGGACCTTCAGTCTTTTCCATTCTTACTCTGATTGCCGCGGCATTCTATTCCTCGTCAAACACAATAAGTTATTCATTTAAGAAGTTTTACTGGACAATCGATCGATTCTTACGCCCGGAACGGTTCGATACTGGTCCCATCACTAAAGGTTGAGCAGATATCTGGTAACACTGGTTTTATACCTTCGCGAAATTCCTTGAAAAAATTGCTTCCCGTCCACCAGATAAACTGGAAACCTTGTTCAGTTACATTTTTCTTACTGTTTATCGCTTTATCAAAAGCTGTAAGCATGATAAGCCAGCTATTGCAACCTTGCGAAAAATTTATGTACAACTAAAAGATGAAATATTCATCCGCAATATTTTGAATAATTGCAAGCACGAGAGATCGAAATCTTGATCAACTTGTGCAAAAGCTCCGGAGTTTGTTGCCAGATTACAGCTTTACGGCTATCAGTGCAGAAAAGCATACTGATGAAGCATTTACGAGACGTGTTTATTGATCTTTCCTAGAACACCATTCGTCAAAGGCTATTGGAACATAAGTCGCTGAATTCTAAAACCACCTATGATCATACTAAATCCATCGAACTAGCGCAAAGACATTCGGAATCCTTTTTGCAAAACAATCATCTCCACGCTTGATCCCGGAAGTGAGTATCATCAAATATCATTAAGAAATGCGACGTCAACTACACGGCTTTTGAGGCTTGCAGCAATCTCTATCAACTTCACCGAAGAGCGTTTGGAGTAATGAATGGGGTAGTATGCGTTTAAAGGTTACGGATAACAAAATACATGTTGAGAAACCCACTGGGATATACGCCTATGTGGAAAATGTCATCATTTGTGGAAAGGGCTAAGAAGAACACGGTCAAAATCTCCAGCGTTTTCTTGCCGTAAAACAAAATTGTGGCCTTCAGTTAAATCACGACAGAAGCACAATTTCCATCACTTAACGTAGACTCCTTGCCTATGAATTCACTGAAGGTATAATCAAAATAGACCCTGAAAGTTTCAGGGTCTCCCAAGAACTACCCGTTTCGAAGGACCTAAGGCATCAGTAGCGAGTAGTTGGCTTTTTCGCATACTATTCTCATTGGATATAATCAGCCCAATTACAGAATACAATCTTTCCAGTCCCTGAAAGCGTTTGAACGTCTCGAAATGAGTTAGTGAGTGCTGCCGTGGTCACTATCGATCCGAGAATATCTCTGATACTCGAAACGGATGCGTCTGATTTCGCGATTTGCACTACACTACACGGGTCGCATTCTTCCGCGACCGGTACATCATTGCCGCACTAGTTGCTTCCCCCAGGAACAGTTCTGATGCGACCAAATATATGACTTCAAAGTATGACCCCGTAGTCAAAAAGTCTTAGAGTGTAAGGCCGAGTAAGCATATACACTCCAACGGCACAGAAGAAACGGCCCTCTTACATAACTTGGCGTCTTCTGCAGATTTATCATGCGTTTCAGTATCCGAGCATCAGCAACCACAGGCTTATAATGATTTGTTTATTAAGCCACAACTGTCTGACTCCTCTGCCTCGAAAACTGGAATATCGAATCCTACTGAACACGCATTGGTTGTAAAACAGCGGACAAGTATTTCTTGTCTGACGTCATCCGATTACAAAACGAAATCCTACAAGCGTCTGTCTCAATGGAGGGGGTCAATGTCGCATATTTGCTCCGCTTTCCAAGACGCTTCATCGTCCACTGTTGAACCACCTTTTATCGTTTTAGCCCGCAGTGTAGAAGTTGTGGATGAATAAACCCCAGCTTTTAGGCCTACAGTCCTTTCTATTCTTACTCCATTGCACGTCAAAGACAACTCCAATGCAGTACTGAAGACGAGCATACGAATGAGGTATGACAAAATGTAAAAGATGATAAGCTATCAGAGTTCAAAGCCGTCTAAGGACTTCTCGATACAACCAGATGACCAGTGGATATCGTCGGGATCACTAGGTCTGATTGATGCTAGGACGTTAAATCAGCAAGAAACAAGTAGAGCGGCACATTAAACAAATCTCTCGAAAGCCAAATAACGGTCTGAGGAAATATCGAGAGCTTTGAAGGACAACGAAGGCTCAGGAGAAAGGAGAGCACTCTTTCCACTGGAAACAGCCGTGCCCTATANCCGGAGAAAGGAGAGCCCTCTTTCCACTGGAAACAGCCGTGCCCTATATGACATAAGTCTATCGAATGGTCAAATTAAGGCAGATGTCGGAGAAACACAAGGAGAAAACGAGAGTTCAGTAATCGGTCAGTGGTACCGTCAATTGTCCGAGTGTATTTCTCTATTCAAGTGCTACTGCTCAACTGATTCTGACCCAGTAGAAATACAGACCATAATAGATTATTGAAATACGTATGACTCAGCTTGGAATGCGCTTTATACATAGAGTTAAGAATGCCCCTTCAAAACCGATTAGAATTAAAGCCTAACCCCATGCATCCACATAAGTTGATCGAGACGATGATGATATGTCCATCCGGATCGAGGCAAGAACGGGTTTTGTCAGTATGAAGCTGTGGCATTAGCATATCACCTTGTCTGTAATAATTGAGTTCGCAATGCTACGGTGCGCCTGACCAATGCGAGCTGAGGACGTCGGAAGAAAACTGTGTGACGATCAGTGTCTTCGAAGCATTGCCTGAGTCTGGTTGAAATAATAAATCAGTAACGCTGCCGCATGGTCACTCCTATTTCAACCGCGCAGCCGGAACTGGTTGGCCAATCGGACTACTATCACCTGATTAGTGGCTGTTTTACGGCTACGCAACCCATAGTGGAACTTCATGGCTAACATAGAAAGCGTCCGACTGCAGACTAGTATGCGAGAACCAGATCCCCGCAGGTTTCTCGGAAGTCAAGCAGTGCTATGGGTACCTTACAGCTACATAGCTGTTCACTGAATTCGTTCGGATCGACAGAACCTGCCCTTGATGACTAGAAAACAGATCGGTGATCCGTATTCTAGTAATTTGTATATGGAACTGATAATCGATTGCATCGCTGAATGCTTCATTCAATACTAGAACGAGTGCCAGAATACCGAATGGTCAGCTTCAATTGTCAACAAGCCATATCATGCGCACTTAGTCATTTCTCACCACAGTCTGCGTCTTCGAAAACAGCTCCCTCGGGAAACAGTTTGAAGCTTCGCCCTAACGAACTCGAAGGCATTGGAAATTAGCCCAGTTCACTGCCAATTTCGGCTTTTCTACAACATTTGGCGACGTTTGGATCTGGCTGCATTTTCCGCCTACCCTTCTTGTGTATTATGGCCACCAGCATTCTAAGATCAACGGGTGATAGTGTCTAGTTTAAAGTGTTACGGATGTTATACAAATACACTTTGATTATAAGCTACAACGGTAAGACTCTGAGAGATCTCACAGGCAGCGTCTCATTGAGCTGTTCATTCAGTACTAGACACAGCTCGACTAAAGGATATGCCCTTTGAACTTTTGAAATCGTAATAAGATGTGACAAGCAAAATGATGGCAAACTCACGCGTGAACTGCAAACATGCTCTGATGAATGCTGAACAGTGAGATTAACTTCGCGACTAGTACCTAGTTAGCAGTGAAATTACGAAAGCGCCAAAGTTTCGGAGTCCATGAGCTTCCAGTAGCAAAAGATGTAGAAAAGTATTCCAAGCAACATACTACACACCAAGCTTACTGGACTGCCAACAGCTTGAAGCGCGATATCCGGTGCACGCGACGAAATTTGAGTTCACAAAATTAATAAACGACCTAGAACATTTGCACCATAAAACAAAGGTAGGAGGACCGTTGAAATATCAGCACAAAATGCATCACAAGGGCTGCCTTTCAATAGGCTTACTCTGTTCAGCTTCGAAAAAAGCTTGTTGACTCAGTTCGGCAAGCATTTCCTACCGGACTACCGATCATACCAGTTGAAATGTACCTAACTACTTGGCCACACAATCTGTTACTGACGTGCAGTTGCGCAATAGTGGACGACATCCATAATCATACTAGTAATAAAAATAATAGTGGAGCACACTGGATAATAATTTATCTGGGATAGTTTGGGTAAGGCTAGTTCGATTCCGGGGTGGTCTATTCGATTACGCAATTTTGTGGGGTATGGAAAAATTATAATGATTAGGAGATGGTTTCGCGGAATTTCAAAGGAATTATACGTTTACAACTGTTGACAAAGCAGGGCAATAACCGCGCTTTGGATTTTCTGCAGATAAACACGAGCACTTCGAAGAATTTGCTTTATGGTGAAGGAGCAGTGTTGCACTGATCCGGCCGGTCAGCTAGGTCTAAAATCCAAAACGACTGCCGATGCTGCCTGGCCTTGGGCAGGTGAGTCTACATGGAAAAATTATAATGATTAGGAGATGGTTTCGCGGAATTTCAAAGGAATTATACGTTTACAACTGTTGACAAAGCAGGGCAATAACCGCGCTTTGGATTTTCTGCAGATAAACACGAGCACTTCGAAGAATTTGCTTTATGGTGAAGGAGCAGTGTTGCACTGATCCGGCCGGTCAGCTAGGTCTAAAATCCAAAACGACTGCCGATGCTGCCTGGCCTTGGGCAGGTGAGTCTACGGCGAAGGTTCAGAAAATTGTAGGTGGGGGTAATTAAGGAAAGAAGTTCGTAATACGGGCATCTGGTAGCATGCGGTAGCATAACCACGTTATATAGTGAAAGCGTAGACGCAGTGGCGTCGGCTGTGAAAGTTCGCTGGAAGGGTAAGTTGACGTCAGCGCATGGGACAGAACAAGAACTCTGAGGAAACTCACTTAATTTGTAGGCCGTTCAAACCGAAAGCCCACCAGGATGGTCAGATCTGAACGATAGGCGCAGCTAATTAGAACGGGCATGTCTCAGAGGTTACTGTCCTTTTTTGCAAGCAAAGGGAAGAGTGTGCGGGAGGACACAGTAGAGATTAGGAAAGGAATCTTTGCGAGCGTTATCGGAGTGCGTAGGGTAGTGTCGTGGCATCCATGTTCTGAGGACGTCGTGTTTGAGACAATTGCACCGAGAATGTGTAATCTTGCGGGCGGCGGAATTTTCGGTTGGTCATGGCGATCTACAGAGGTAGAACAAACCCAACGTAGAACCATAGATAGTTTAAGTTCGGTTCGGAATCCATTTAGGTGTAAAGCACAGAGCAGTTGGAGTGAATATAGATCACCTAGAGCGTTCAACTATTGGAAGAGGGGGAATGGGCTGAGGTCAGTAGGGTCTGGTTTGTTTGACAAGGTACTGATGAAAAATATCTAGTGTATTACAGCTGGGGTGGTGCAAAGAAGATGCCGGATGAGTTAGGTTGTGAGTAGATTTAGGCTTAATAACCGGGCAACCAAGGGCTGTCTTGGTAGCTTGGACGTCAAGGACAGGCTGAGCTTGCTAATATAATGCTGGTCCAGTACAAGAGGCATAGAGGAAACTGAATAGGTATACATGGAGGTTATGTGCTAAGGGATAGCAAACACATAAGAGATTGTGCGGATAGATCCTCTGAAATGATGAACTAGTTTATCAGGAGTTCGCTGTGTGAGTTGGACAGTAACGTAATTTGTGAAGGAAAGTGAATGTAAACGAAAGAGTTAATCATCCCTCGAAGCACTGCCGTCAGCTTCAACAAACAAGTAGTGCATGGAGAAGAACCCATTGAATCTAGCATTGAGTGCTATTAGACAAGGATGTGGAATTCCATTACAGTTTTAATTATTTATTGTGTACGGTTAATGCTGGGAGCAGTAGAGGGTGTGTTACGTTTGTTGACGAAATGGATTTTGTGCGGTGCAACCTCAAAGTAACATGTACTTACTAACTCTGAAAGTTGGGTATGTCTGGAAAAATTAGTAGACCGGAGCGTGCGCGAACAAGAAACCGGAGAAACGGTGAGCTGCACTTTCCGGTTGCGTGGTTGGTGAATGAGGTGACCTAATCATGTCTCACCACAGACAAAGGAAGAGCTTGGAGTCTTTGCGAAACCAACTGTATTAGAGGTCTTACACCACGAGTATTTAGTTACTCTGCTGTGCGCCAAAATTGTAGTATAGTTGCAGTCGGAGAAGGCTTAAAACACCGCGACAGACCTTCAAGAATACATGATTTCCTGTCAAATCTTAATTGCAGAAGGTAAAATACGAGGTTTAATATGGATTCAAGAAGATCCCTCGGGGCCGGACATATCTGAATCAATAGTCGTAATTTGTACAGGCGTTCGCATTGTCGGTGATGCCAGGGGAAGAGGAGTTCTTGAAAGTTTTTTGGACGGATAGTAGTGGCCTAAAACCCGCCGCGCCTTGAACGCACAATGCATTTTCTGCAAAGCTCTCGCGAGTGAAATAAAACTTTTATATCTAGATGTTGCATTTCTCCGCATATATGCTCAGTCCAAAAATCACCACAATCCACCCCCGTTTTTAGTAATTTTTTAAATTCTTCTATGGCTTCGAAAGTAGCTTCACAAGCGTTTACTGAGAAATTTGTGGCTGTGGCTTTTTCACGCTTTGAGGCATTTGAGAAGGTCTTAAAGTTATACATGAAAGATAAATATGTGGTAGTTGTGTGTTCATTCAGTAAGCGAACCACAATGGCTGTTTTGCATTACAAATAAGTATACTAGGGATGCAGCAGACAAACTTCAAGACCAATGAAAATTCGGAGAATCCGAAGAAGCTAGTAAGTTGAGCGTATTTGATAATGAAAACAGTATGCCAAGCACCGGTTGTCCAGTGCAGCTTTGTCTACGGAAGCAAAGGAACCAACTGGCGGTCAACTCTTATTTTGCTGAACAGAAAAATAAATTGTCAAAGTTTTGTACTTTCGGCTTCTGGTTAATCGATGGCTAACCTAAGGCGGGTGGGGCGTCTGCAACCCCGATTCTGAAATAAAGATTGTAGCCGATAAATTCGGCAAGATTCTTACTAGTCAGGATAGGTACAACTGCCGCCGGAATTGTAGTGAGTAGGTACCACGTAGTTGGGCTTTCTTCTGGCAGATGATGCGCCTCCGGTCCTGGCAAAACTTCGAGAGACCGGGCGCGCGCTTGTGTGGCAGTCAAAGAAATATCACCATAGCCACATAGGCTTCTCCTGATGGCAGCAGATAACATTGTTCCGACGTTTTCCAGATGTGATGAATGTAGACGGAACGCCCTGGTAATTTTATTCAAAGCACCTATTATCCAGTCTGTAGATACAAGATGAATACCTTCTTGATAACGGACGGCATGGGAACAAGGCGTCCGGTTAGGTATGCGTTCGTAGAGAGGGAATAGTTTGCCTCCATGCATTAACTGTTCAACCTATTCAGGGAAATGCTGGACGAGCATTATCTGGTTAATACTTTTATTATGTAGAAGTTGGCGACACAAATGCGGGCGACAAGTTTTGTGTTCGTCTGTGACATGACGCTTTTCCCTTCATATCAGAAAGGCTATCGAGAAGCACGTATACATCCTTTAATATCCATGTTTTTGGTCGTAGACATACGTCGAAATGCCGGCACATATTCCACCTCATGGATCATCTAGACTCTGTATAGTAGGTTTTTCGTTTATCATATTAGAAGTGCGCGGATTTCAGCAACATCTACAGCTTCTTCGCCGCACGAACCCTCGGTTCGTTTTTTATCTTATGGCCTTCTGGATGTACATCACCCGATAATGGGTCATACAAGCACAGCCTGGAATGGTTCACTTTGGTAATGTGACCAACAATCATCTGGAGAATGCAAATGGCGGCTTAAAGACTGGGTGCACCGCTCCGACACGCTAGAGCATGCCAAACAGAAGGTATCCCGGTAATGGTGAAACTGTGCCGTGGTGCCCAACGGGCTTGTTCCAGAGGCGAGTCCACATAGAAATAAATTACTTTTTGTTCTTGCCCACAGCACCACCAGAAAAAGCAAAGGTGTGCTTGCTGCCGGGTCCAAAAAGAGGGCGTCTTATGATGTTGACCTGGACCGAAGCACGGAATCTCAGCACAGTGTGCTTTAGAAGTTCTTGTTTCCCCGTGTCCTCGGGCTCCAAGGCGTCGCTACACGACAGCCGTCAGTAAATGTCTGCCTAATACGACTAACTTTGCACTGCGCCAGCTGGATGAAAGGGACGCAGATGATTTCATGTGACCCATCAACTCCAGACAGTTTGTCTGGCAATGAGACCCCATGTATTCCACGTAAGTCTCGTGTTTCTTGAGGGGTACTGCAAGTAGGCATGCGGAATGTCCACTGAAGATGGTGTTATGTGAACCAGCGTTTATGACGCAGCCACCGAAGGGCCCCCGTTTTAGGGTGAGCATTCTTTCAAGTTTGTCAGCCGCCTTGTGACGTTTCGATAGCCTGCCTGATATTTTCCCTCATTTCAGGACGTCAGCGGTCAAATGAACGCTCCTGACAGAGAGGTTCAGGCAACTCCAGGCAGAATATATCTGCTCATCAGGACGACCAGTAAAACTCAACTTTTTATGTTGCCTATTTTGAACTTTTTCTCCGGTAGAGATGCTGGCCTCGGCCCCAGATTGGGCACCGTAGACCCATAGCCTCATGTTAACCGTGTGCTTCGGCCAAGTTTGTTCAGCTGTCCGCTATGATCTACGTAGGTTCCATTTCAATGGTTAATCAACTTCATGGTCTTCCAAGCATAATTCGCAAGCTACAACGTAAGACTGAGCATGTTAACAACAAATATGTGAGATTTTTCGCCAATAATGATTAGGGAATACGCAATTTTAACTGGTAACAGCAATTATCGAGCAAAAATTGTTTACACGAGTGGCATCTCCTCATAATTTGCATCCACAAAGGCCATGTTGATTCTAGAATGTCCAAAGAACTATTTCAGCTGAATAACCATTTGGAAGTTTCTCCCATTGTGAGTCACCTTTTTACACAATTCGCGATTTCTCATTACATTAGACAAAGTATTCACAGTCGGTGTTGATTGACCTTGAGGATTCGCTCACTTAAACAAATTACCAATGTAGAAGGTTTGCAGTAGCACATAAATATATACATTACACAGACATTTTACGCCATGAAATGTCAAGTCTGAAAATATCGCAGCTCCCGAGAAATCAGTTCCTTTGTGCGAGTACTGAGCAGCCCAATATGCCGAGCAGGTGGGACAAATATAGAGGGGCGGGCAGGGCGCTTTAAAAGGATGGATTACAGACAGGTGTGATCAGTTGACCGTCTAGAGTAATGATACGGGATTGACGAAATCATGTCTATATATGTTAGTTGTCTGTGGATTGAAAAACGTTTGTTCCATGGCGATTTAAATGGAGAAAACCTTCCAGAGCACAGTTGAATGGTCATCATAATAGCATCGGGGGTGTTTGCCTTAGTCACTCATGTATTTGGATAATTTAGGCAAGATTGTAGAAAGGAAAATGGGTAGCAACACTGTCGTGAACGGCAAGTTAGGCCCAACTTCATATCAGTGACATATACGGAAGAACCTCAGGGTAGATTGAAAGAGCGAGCGGCCCCCGTACGACTATGACATTTACAGCCAACGATCCTCTTATGCCTTGTCTGCTGTGGGGTAATGCCTTCGAACGGGCCTTACTTGCTGCGTACAACAGAGCAAGTAAGCGAAGACATGCTACTGTTGAAGCCTCCTTTCTTGCACTTTCTCGTTTCCCGTCGTGCACCCTTTTCACCCAAATTCGATTAGTTAATCCGCTGGTCCGGGCACTAAGACTAACGGTTTTCCACATCCGCGTAACACCCAACTGCAGATTCTGTCCGTCCAAGTTCTGTCACAACGCTAAACACTTCGAAATGTTTGTTCCAACCGTTAATGTTCACGCACTGAAGCAATCGGGCCAACATGTAGTGCTTGAACGTACGCCAGAAACAAGGATGTTTACGCTCTGATCTGTCGAGGACAGCTTCTACGACGCGGTGGGCAACCTTCTACAGCGGGCTAAAAGGTCAGAGATTGTCGATGGTAATGAACACCCAGTTAACTTGTCCACTGCAGCCCGATTAGGTGGTTGTCCTGGATTGGGCACTACTTGTACGAGCAAGGGGATCGCTTATTTCAGATTTCCGCCGATCACAGACCGTTTCTTTGCAGCACCAATTTCCGGAACAGCGAAAATCGATGGAAAACATGGTGCCCAATAGCAGACGAGCCCCGAATCCAAATAGACCATATCGCCGTCAACTCTCGGCTACGAAGATTGGTCGTCACCCGCTGCTCCTTCTGGGACGTCATCGTGGGCGCGAGCGCGCACTCGTACATTGTCGCTTATGACTGCGTTTTTCAGGTCTACGCAAAACGCGCACAACTCGCCTAACCACTGAGAAGCTAGCATCCAAGAAATCAAGTGAAACTATCAGAACCAGCTTACCAGATGCCTGCCAAACGGTCCGATATCGGATATAAATGGCCAACAATAAAATATATTCGAAGGGTTGCTCGAAGCCGGAAGGTGTATTTTCGGTACAAAGCAGCTATCTCATCCAAACATTGGATCTCTGACAGGACTGTGTCTTTGCTGGAGACTTGGCGACAGACTCCTCCTGGCCGCAACGGCAGCTCCACCCGACGCATTATCTGACGCTAGGTGAAACTGAGTGTCTTTGCAGACCGAGAAGCTTGATGTGCCTGAAAAGCTGAAGAAATGGAAGATGCAAAAAATGCTTGAAGCATCCGAAAGCTGTTCACCTAATGTAACGTCCGTTTCGAATTCTTGAGCAACGAGCACCAAGGTAAGCAACCAAACTGGCAAAACTCCGAACGAATGGCTACGCAAATGTGCTGTACTATAAAAATGAAAGTAGTTACACGGAATACAAAATTACAAACCTCAACGGTTTTTGACAAACGGTGAGGTACTCCAAAAGGCAAGCAAAGCCGATATGGATCAACAGTCAACGCGTGACCGAAACCGCGTCTCAAACTCATGAATTAAAACAATATATATCTGCCCAAGGTTTTGGTACAAAAATAGTATAATCAAAGCGGTAAAAACGATTTGCGCGGTAAGGAAAACGGAAAAGATGGATGTTTTGCAAGAGTGAAATAGAGTTCAATTCCACCAGTTCAAAAAGGGCGGTCCTTTTGAATTGTTATCCGGGAAGGCAGTCATACAAGATTGGAGACAATTTTAAATATATATGAAGTTGCAACACCTAACTCATTCAACTAGCCCTCGGAAACCTCTGGTCAGCGAAATATTCGGAGATCAACATGCCCACCTGATACGCAGCAGATCAGAACGCTTGAACCGCTTGAACAGCACTTTGAACAGCATTTCAACTATCTGCCTGCTACCCCAATCCGGAATTCTGGCCTACAACAGAAAGGTGATCCGTTAATACGGGGCCGCCTTTGGTATAGGAAGAGTTCCAGTGTACTTCTCTACACAAGCATTATTGTGCTGCTGGTCCTGATGACCTTCAACCTACCCATTTCAAGGATGACGATGGGCTCTTGTCCATTGTCTGTCTAGTTTAGTTGGGTCTATCTGGGAGAAGAAGACCTTCCCAGACAACTGGGGTGAGTCACCAGTATTTCCCATTTTCTAAAAAGGTACTCGCGTTGTTGGTTTGACACTTGTTGTGATAAGGCTTCTAGCATCTTACGGTGACACCCGGGGTTTCAACTGGGCAGAGGTTGCGGTGACCGCATCTTCCCACCCCGTCAAGTGTTAGGACAACGTCAGATGAACAGACAATAAAAAATCTGGGTATTTGTTGACTTCAAGGGTGCGTTCGATTCTGTCGATTGATTGGTGCTGTTAACCGCACTTACTCAACAAGTTATGCCCCAGACGTTTGTGAGCTTTGTGCGGCTAATGGACCCCCCAAGAAAGCCGCGTCCTGGACATACCCAAAATTTCTATGAAACCGTGGTTCAAAGAAGGGATACTTTGACACAAAGTTTTAGCACTTGATGGTAATTATTCAAACGCTCATGATCTCTCCACATAGCCGCGGTTTTATTGGGAGTTGTTTAGACGAACTCAGAGTCCACTATATACGTGGAATTAGTATTTTAATGGCTGCCTGTGGCTTCGCGCATTGTCTCTATGAGAACAATGAGAATTTTTGTGGAAATGCTGACTTCTTTGCATGTTTTCTTACCTTTTAAGGTTGGTAATATTATCGAAACGGCTTAGACAATAATCATGCCCATTGCGACCGTGCAAACTCAAAGCGCATCGGGCATTCGTAACCTGGATATGAAAAACCCCTATATGGTTGCGGCAAGCGCCCCACTGAAGCCAAGTAATTCGTCACAACGAGTAAGTTTTTTTTCAGTTTTTGTGATGGTCAGCATACGTTATATCTGGCGTGAGGCAAGGTTTGATTTTCACCGATATGCCGGGCCACCAAAAGTGCCGTTGGATAAACTATTGAGTTTTTTGTGCAGAACAAGCATACGGCACAATAAGATGGCCACTGCTTTTGCACAAATTAAACGCACTGAGACGGTTTTGTGCGTGCACGTAACACTCGTCTGAGAAATGTTAGGGATATGGTGTCATGGAATTAGAATGCCGCCTGAAGTAACAGACAGTCAAAATGTGTCACAATTCCTAGCTCCTTGAACGAGGCGACATTGCCCGATTTCAAGAGCGTGGAATTTTTCAAAAGCAGTTGCCTGAAAGGCGTAAAATCACGCGTATTTGGTGATTCTCCTAGCACCTTTGCTCTTCTATCAATGGGTCTTTCGATTCATAGGGGGATTGCTCAGGACATATGCCACAACTAGGGCACGCTCAGACCGAAAAAAACGTCCGACGAAAGTTGATTACATTTTAGTTTTTCCTTTCTCCATTGAAGAAGGTGGATTATGAGGTTTATCTCGCAGAAGGAGTATAATTTTCGGAAAGGGCACGCAGTTGGAGTGAGAGTTGTAAACCGCGCAGTCTTCCATCGTCGTGGACAGAAGGTAGGGAAGGGGCAGACCGGTTACAGAAAGATACAGAAAGCGCCAAAAGCTTCCGTGCACAAAACGGTGTCCTCTCCCTATTGTACATACTTTTGTTATCGACGAGACAATGAGGCGAACACTGAAACGTTTTCTGAGTTCGATTTTCAAATGTCTTCTGACAAAAATCTTGTCGATCTGGAGGATGTAGACGTCCTTCTCACCTTCGAAAAGGAGGAAGAGGCATAGGTGTTTTTGGATAAACTGATCAACGTCGTCTGACCATTGGTGTGCACTTTGTACCCACAAAGTGCTACCCCACCATAATGATGTTTAGTCCCAACAGGTGAGTGGCGTACCACAACGCATGACCATAAATTTACAGTCTGAATAAGGCGTGAGATTGGTCGTGGTTGCAAGTAGTGGAACAAATGAGCGATAGTATGCAGTCAGAATAAGAAAGGACATAGCTGCGGGCGCGCTATCAAACTGGGTATAGCAGTGCCGACTTGATTTCGGAAGTGAAGATGGAATGCTCCATGGAATGCTTCAACATGAACGAGGAGTTACTTGAAGCCCAGAAGGGTGTTCTTTGTTGGTTGAATATGTGTTGTTTACGAGTTCTGATGAGGAAGATCGAGCTCTCGATTTTATTAAGGTACATCGGTATCAGAGAGCAAAAATCGAGTGAAGCTGGGAATTAGGGCTATAAACGTACGGGTTCGACACCATGTACTCGCCCACTTCGCTATATCTGCATCCACGGGTGCACGTTAGAGGGCGCGTATGGTCCTTGGATCGCAGGGCTCAAGTTTACACCACTAGGTTTTACGGCTGACAAGTATTCGCTCCCCTTTAACTTTAACTTCACCGCGTTCGATAATACTAATGGTTGCCGAATCATCGATTTACCCACGGATCTCTATCGCCAAAGGACTAAGGGACAAAGGGATTCGTTGAGCATGTAGCGGACTAGGACCTTATCACCGTGTTCGGATAAATTAACAAGCAAAGTAACCAATATAAAACCACAAAATCACAATAGGAAAAGAATGAGTAGTCAAATGGGGACTCACGAATGTGTAGATCCAATAGTCCACTACACCGATCCAAATGCAGTAACTGGTTGTGAAAGGAAATATTCACTTGTCGAAATTTCTCACAGATGGTTTCGCGTGAGCGATATATTCCGCGGTAGGAAAATTATTCACGGCTAAAAAATGTCACAGGGATTTACTGCAACGTTCAACAGTTGACACAAACACGGATTCAGCAGTCAACAAACAGTTCAACGGAGCGTAAATATGCTCGTTCAGCAAGAAGTCAGCAGGTCGCACCGGAAAATTGTCTATTCGTAACATTAAAACAAACGTCATGATACAATGTGAACGACAGTTACAAAGTGTGTTTCAAGTTCAGGAAGAATGGTAAATGTGACAACGGATTGCAGACACTACAAGCACTTGGTGAGTTAGCCACTACAGCTTTGTTTAATTGTGTGTCTTAAATGATATCGCGGAAGATGTGAACGGGTCGTAATTGGTTATACATTGATTTCAGATAACCTATTGAGTAAAAATATGAGAATCTGATTGACCGAACGTCATGTTTGTACTAATGCAACCAACTAATAGAAACATAAATTGTCTAGGTGATCGTGTTTTTTAGGCATTGGGTTGTTATGTGGGCGACTTATGGATATGAAGGATCTCCTTTGGTCTTTGGCAGGTGACACTCACTACAATTACCATTATGACGGGGCGTCGATGGCCGTTAGGTTAGGATATCACGCATAGTTTGAGCCTCGTTTTTGTCGGCCCACATATATAATGGCCTGGTGTTTACTATAGGTAGCGGACATAAGCGAGAGAGTGTAGTTATTGGTATGACGGGCCATCGTTGGCAGTTACATTAGGGCCGTGCATAATCGGCGTCGCATAAAGGTATTGGCCTAGCAAATCTTAAGACTAATCGAAGTAGGCGATATCGCGTACAGTTTTGAGTATGAGGTCCGTCGTTCGCCAGTGAATTAGGTATGTGTGCATAGTTTAGGCCTCGTACTCATTGATTCGCACAAATACCGGCCCGATGGTTATCACAAGTGGCAAAGATAAGCGAGAACGCGTACAGTAAGGGTGCGACATATTATGTTGGATTAGGTTACCGCTTAATCAGCACCGCCCATTGACATGGACCTAGCGGGTACAATAGGAAGCCAAGTAAGGCAACATCGAGTACAGCAACGAGTATGACAGGCCGTCAGATAAGGCTCACACGTATAGTTGAGGCCTTATTTTCACTGGCCCGCATGGATAGTAGTACAGTGTTTACTATAGGTTGCATAGAAGCAACGTCGCACATAGTTATGGATGGATATTGGATTAAGTTATTGTGCGTAGGTGAGGCTTCATGAGCAGCGTCGCACATAGACATGAGCCTAGCAGTTACAATAAGTATTCGAGATGAGTGCGAGCGCATCGAGTTGAGCATAAGGGGCTGTCTTTGGTCATTGGATTAGGCTACCATGCATAGGTGGGTCTCCATAATCAGCATGGCACATATACACGGACCTAGCAGTTACGATAAACAGTCGAGGCGAGTGACAACGGCTAACGTTATCATGGTGAACGCTTTGTGGCGCCACCATAGAGCATCATGTTCATAGTACGAATGATGCCATTAATATTGGCAATTTACCCACAGCTATCTCATGACGCTGTAATATCTACAGGTTAGTTATGCATATCTGGGAATGAGGATCATCCACACAGGTGCAAGCTCGCATCACCACTGCAAAATGTGTCAAGCATTTTCCATTAATATGCTGAGAGGAACGCAGTTTCCCAATAAACAGTGTCGTGCCGAAGTTCGCTGAACAAACTCAACTGACTTGTTGCATCTGACAAGTATGACGAGATTCGAGTAGTTCTAGGACGACATTAGAAGGAAGACAAAATAGAAGGGCGTAGTGTACGCCTTAATCGTCTGATAACGGTAGTACATGAGCTGAAAATATAGAGTGAGAATTACGAGTTACGGGGTCTATACAACGATATGGTCATGAAACGCACCAAAGCGTTTTTCAACTATTTACCTGGGTGGAATTTACATAGGATAATATATAGATGTTATTCATTTAAAGAACGCCGCAGAACGCTAAAACATGCTAACATTTGATTTCGAGCGTCATCTCGTAAACCGGTAATCGCGTGTGAATCGGCGATGGTCGATGATTTTGAAAGTTCGCTCGCTTGAATAGGTTGCTATCAGCATCATATCACTTAAGCGTTGAAACGGATTACACAAACTCCCCATTAAATTTGCAACTACGAAAACCCAGTAGTTTTGGGCGAAATTGACTTTGCTTTACTTCTAGTGAGTGGCGTTTTGGGGTGTGATTCATGCACAGGCAGGCATTTCGATTGGTCTGTTGTGCACAAGCCAGAAGATAAGCGCATCTAAGTTGAATTCACGCACAAGCCAAATGGAGATAGGTTTTAATGACTAATACGCATAAATTAAGAAGAAATCGGCGGTTAAAACGAGCAAGAAAACAGTCCCAAACTATTTGGAGGATTTACTATAGAAAATATCACACGACCTCTTGTGGGACACTCACAATTTGACGTCCATCAAGCGCATAAGTTAACATCGCATGCCTACATGCCCTAAAATGTTGCATCTCGGTTTCCCTTCACTCAACCATTCTATGACTACTTATGCCAACTCCTGTAACACAATATTAGCCGTAAATTTACGTTTTTCTTTTCGAGTGCCTAGGAATTAACTTGACTACGTGTCTGAGAATTTTAACGCTTGGACTCTTCAACTGCTTCCCTCTTGGTTAACCATAGTTTTGTGCTTTTGACGACTGTCAGGAAGCTTGACAGTGCCCTATGAAGAAAGATGTCTTGTAGATCTTTACTATAATGAAATCAACATTAGTCGTGGGATACTAACGATACCAACAATTACACAAGCCAGTAAGAACGAAGTGAGCGCGGATTAGAAGTGCTACTTAAATTTTAGACGAGTGCCAATGTGAAAATACCTAGCGTCAACAGAGCAGAGCGCAGCCACGCAGTCCGCTAACAAAGGCGAAAATAGGCGAAGAGTTCGAATACTAGAATCTGTAGTGACAAAGAGAAAGAAAGGCGGATAAATGAGACCGTTTCCATTTTGAGGGCTGAGTTACAAACATATTGGTTTTAGATAGAAGTTTTGATTCTCACAGCTAAAGAATAGCTTATATTAGCCCACCTTGTTGTTTATATTTTGACACAATGATGAAGGAAAGGCATTAACAACGAATTTTTGAGGGATCACGACGTTTAACTAAGGAAAGATGAAGTGCATAGGTGAGCGTATCACTGTTTGTTGGTGTCTGTGGGAACTTGAACTAATACGCCACAAATGTTGGGAGTTGGTACACAAATTCAAATGACATAGGTGATGAGGGCTGAATGCTCGGATATCCAGAAAACTGCACTTAAATAGCCCATAAAATGTGTAGCTCGTGCGCAGAACCTGAGTAGGAACTCTCCCCAAAGTGCAACTCCATCGCTTTGCGTTTAGGCTTTTGGGTCAAGGGTTTTGGTCCACCTCCCCACACTTGGGCTTCCTACTAGGAATTCAGCTCACATCCAATAATGAAGTTTACGCTTAAGATACTTATGATACATCGGCCATCTCGCGGTGGCATCATCCGGAACGTCTTCTTCATTGCATAAAGCTGAAGATAAACGAGTAATGCGACCGCTGGTGGCTATTATCTTTTTATTGTTATGCTTCAAATAACCTCTTTTGCTTTACAATCATTCTCGTGCAGATCCTAGCTATAGGCACATTAGTTAGACACCTACGGAGTTATGACGCTACAGTCCGTACCTATTACTCGTCTTCAAGCCTCGTTCTCCTGTTATTGGTTTAGCCTTCAAAGTGAGAACTCTTGGACAGACTGACGAACAAACTACCCTTGTGTTTACTGTAGATGTTCCACCGATCGCCATCTTTCGTATCCCCGAGACTGGAATACAGTATCCAAGACCAGCTGTTGAACAAACGACGTCCTTTCTATCCAAAAGCCACAGAATAAGGAATTCGGGTGATCTTCTAGCTGCTGCATCGGGTTGCGCCGTTAAAGTTATGACCAGCAGTTTGCAAGGAAAGGCTGCATTTTCTAGCAAGATACTTGTAAACAGCCGAATTCGTACGATTTGACCTTCTGCTTCGATGAAACTCTTATTGGTCGAAACTTTGAATACCCTTTGTTTGTCTTTGCCATTGATGCATCTGCTGACTGGGTTTCTGATTCGTTAGCAGTTACGATAATGAAAATGATGGTGCTGAAAATTCCAGGAGATTCATGTAGGAATGTATATGAACACAATCTATGGAGAAAGTTACGCGTTATCCGTCCACGACAAACGTGTTCGCTTACTTGCGGCCGCGACGCGTCAGAATCTCAAGAGTTTTTTGTATAGGTTTATCTACCTCACATCACTCCACTCACAACCGTATAAATTTCCGGACGTCCCAGCTGAGCACGATTGCTCCGCTAAGAATCGCTCTCTAAGAATCTCTTGAAAATAGACCGTTTTATGGTCACTGGGTTCAACAAATTTTGTGTCCGTTTGTACTTAAGTGGGAATTGTCTCAGCAAATTTACTTTTACGAAATCGGGTATATAAGATCAATTCTATTTCGGCAAGACCCATGTCCAAAGGCTGGTCTTTTGACGTATACACACTCGAAGAATTCCTGTTAGATCTGGCCTAAATATTTGCGGAAGATTACAGCTCAAGCTAACGGAAATAGATTCTCAAAATCGGCAACAAAGGACACAAACGAATAGGTATATGGTTGTGGTCGCCTTATATCTGTAAATAACGTGACTGAGGCCATGCTGTCAAATGTTAACTGCTGGGTAGGTAAAATGTATGTTGAAATTAAAGCGTCTACTAACCAGCTAAATTGACAAGTGACTGTGAACTACGAACATATACTTATCTCGAAAAAAAGGACAGGGGTTTCGCGGAGTTCAAAAGGTGACTGTTTTGTAATACTGGTTGAAATCTCCGAAAGATCGACCTATAGCCCTACTTATTCTACTTGCTAACAAACTATTGCAGGAATTTTCCCGATGAAATTTCGAAAGGGGACACGAAAATCAAGCGGAAAATTTTCCGACAGGAAGCGTTACATGTCAGTGCTTAAAGTTTTGGTCCCTATCGTCGTCCTAATTTTAAACCAGAGCGACTTAGACTCCATGTACCTTCCTGTAACTCGGAGTCGCGTGGTAGAGCCGTTGCTCATAGCAGAACTATCCTATTTGTGGATATAAAAGATTTGTTTGCCCGAAATCGGTTTCCGCAAGAGGACCATGTGTTTTTGTCGGTCACCAAAGGCCTTTGGATCGTCAAGGAAGTTTCTGCGCCGTGAGCGGTCACAGGAACCATCAGCCGAACCAAGCGCACATTCGGTGCTGTAACAAGGAGGCAATTAACCGTTTTGGTAGTACGCTGAGTTCTGAGCACAACAAATTTCAGCAATATGCACAGATAGTACGCATGTTGTACCCATTTGCTGTCTTTTCAGGTGCACCTGAAGGCTGATCGGCCACGAGCGATGAGGATGACATGATAAAGTAATTGTAACTAGAAACGACGATGATTTCGCGGTCCCTGGGCCGTTAAATGCTTTTCGAGCATTTATTTCTTGGGCAACTGACTGTTATTCTACTCAATTTTTGAACACAGTATAGTGAATTAGACCTTAATTTAGCAACAAGTTCATGACTGTTTCGTGGTAAGGTAGCCGGAAATCAATTTGCAATTTCGAGTGCATTTCCCAGTGAACAGTCGGTCATATTGCCAAAACATGCGTACAACGTTGTTATTTTGGGGGTTTAGGGATAGAACTGCCCCTAAAATACCCACACCTAATTCATTGGTATATTGACGCAGAATGTTCATGAATTTGTTCAATCATGTTCTCCCGGGTTATCAAGTAATCAAGGTTATGCGCCACCCGAGAGAGGAGTTCTCGATTTTTAAGGTTGCGCTATTATGCAAGTTTCCTGAAACTATAGTCTAAATTCTGCAGAACCGTATGGTGCCGCATGAAGGAATGGTGAGCCTTAGATGTGCAAAACAAATCAAAACAACCAGAAAAAATCACCTTCTTGTCACCGTCGTATGTCATGGAAAAGTTATGCTCATGGGTCCACTCCACAGGAAGGAATCATTGGGCTTGAGTTCAAGTCTTATTGGAGCTCACCAGTAGCACATATACTTGCCCTTGTCGGAGCCTGAAATCCGGATGTTCGGTGGGCGAGAAGACCGTGTAATCACTGCGCCTGCTAGATTCACCTCAATTATGCCAACTGAACGGGCGAACGTGTTCACGTTTGAGTGATTGGTTTGTTCGACAAGTATGACGACTACCCATTAAGCGTCTTCATTGTGTCGATTGTTTAGTCCGCAAGAAGAACGAATTACATAGGTCAAGCGTCAGCACATCCGCTTGTTCAGACTTGATATTTCAGATGCGTCTAGATTACACTGATGCAGTAGTGGTGGCATACTCTTCTCGCATGTCGTATCCTGGGTATTTGAATCTCCGTAAGCCGATAGCACGCAACATCAATGTACCACAATTAGAAAAGAAAGTGCACATGGTGCTCCCTTTTCCTGGTGTGAACTAACCAGAAAAGTATTCCTAAAATAGAAGTGGTAATGTGGGTGCAAATTTTGGGTTCGCCAAAACTGCAGCTTCTCGGGGCCATAACAAGCAGTGTTGGTGGCAGCGTCACTGAAAACTTGAGTCAGTCCATCAATCCATGCCTATTCGCCTCTACGTTCATCTCGTGCCAGTGTGGCTGATCTCTCAAAAGATATCCGGTTATCTTCATTCCCGCTTTAAGTACAAAATCCTTCATTTTTACCACACTGAGTAAGTATTGGTGACGTTGATTCATGCTTTACATGCAAGTACTGGAACTTCAACCATCCAGTGTGCATTCACGAAGGTGTTCTACGACAGAGTATTGTGCATCCAGTTCGATATCTTCTACGAATGATTGTGCAAAAACAACCCCCAACAGCTAGCAAGCTAATAGTGGAACTGGGAGGGACAGTTAATAAAAAGTCTTTGACTTCAATTTGAAAGTATCTCTTGTGATGTGTCTATTCTGGACCTGAAAAGAAACTTTGCTTTGCGCTTGTGCTGCGCACTGGTTACGAATAAGCATAACTGCTAGCGAATGGGTTTCAAAAGAACTGTTTACCAGAGTAGTTGCTGAAATTACGAATAAAGCCAAAAGTTGGTTGCGCGAGTAGATTTCGAGGGCGGTAATTCTTATAAGTGAAGCCGAAAAGCCTGAAAGCTCTGCACAGCTCTTTTGTTCCTTTCCAGAATCATCAGCAGTGCGCACCTCCTGAAAGTCCAGAGAGTCTCGAACTGCTCGTGACCAAGCGGTTCTTTGTTCAGATAATCAGTGGAGAGAACACGGGTTCCAGACTTCCTGGATTTTAGTGAGATTCGCAATGCTGATGAATACAAATAAGGATGAAACAGCCGTACAGTGCTCCTCGGCATTGGCTGCTGTCTATTACAGGTAAAAGTCGAACTAAAAGCTTTTTCACTGGAGCACTTGGCCTCGGGGTCACATGCCTCAGTTCCAAAAGAGGTATGATCAAAGGAAGCCATAGCAAGTATGTTCTCAATAATTCGCGGACTAGCTCATCAGAAGAAACTCGGGACCCCAAGGGGGGCATAGGAAGAAACTTATTTTGGTTAAAAGCTTGTAACCGCATTTTGCTGTCAGGAAGTCATCTTACTAAAGCTTACTGTTATGATAAAGGACGTTCTGGCTTTTGGGAACGAGATTCAAATCTCTATGTTTGATTTGGGCAATGGACTTTGCCATTAAGACCAGTAACTTGTCGATTCGGGTGAGTATTTCAGGAAGGATGCGAAAGGGACATAGGGCAGCCTGGTGGATTTTGGCAATATCACTTGTAAATACGCCTAGTTTATCAAATTGGTTATCATCTGTTCTACCGGTGATTTCTAACTTTGTCAGTCGTCAATAATGAACTTTTCAGCGAGTGTTTTTCACCAGGGTAGA